GAGCCTGGCATGATTGATGTTTACTACACACTATGGGGCAGTGCCACTCATTGCGAACATTCTGTCATTTATTACATAAAGGTAGAGATATATATCTTAGTATTCAAAAGTTGAAACTTGAGTGACTTTGCAGTGAATAGAATCATAAACCATTAAAAAGGTATGGAAAACCAAGGCAATAAAATTTGTTTGAAGTAAATCTAAAGTCTGTAGTTTAAAATGGATTGGCAAATTGCAGCCTGACACCTGTTTTTGGATGGCCTGCAAGCCAAGAATAGTACTGATCTTTTCAACTCTTTGAAAGAAAAGCGAAAGAAAAATTTTGTGACATGAAAATTATTTTACAAAATTCAAATTTTAGTATCTGTAAGTAAGGTTTTATTGGGACACAGCCATACTCACTTATTTATATATTGTATACAGGTGCTTTCATGCTACAACAGCAGAGCTGAGTAGTTGTAATGGAGACCATGTGGTCTGGAAAGCTAAAAATATTTACTCTCTGGCTCTTCACAGACAAGATGTGCTGACACCCCTGGTTTAAAAGAATGTGTAAGAAAGGTGGAAAGAAATTATATAACCAAGTGTTAAACAGTCTTTTAAGAAAAGTGTTAAATGAAGGATGGGTAAAGGGAGAGACTATTTAATCTAGATGAGGGATGTTTGGGGTGTCCCCTGTTGATTGTGATGGAAGCATGGTAGCTGCCTTGTAATATTTGAGGTATTGTCATACAGAAGAAGAATCTGTTTGTTTTCTATAACGATAAAAGTTAGACCTAGAACTGATTGCTGGAATCTAGAAGGTAGCAAAGTGTAGCTTTGCATAAGGGAACATTTTTAACTTGTTGAAAGGTGGAATAGACAGCCTTGGGAGGTAGAGAGCACCCCATCATTGGAAGAATGTAGACATGCCAGACAACTAGTTAGCAAGGACCTAGTAGAAGGGATTCAAGCATCAACTTGAATGATTTTTGAAGGCCCTTTCTAATCGTTAAGAGTCTATAATTTTATGAACTCTCACTGTTGAGAATCTGTATTAAGGGAAGTTTTCCAAGTACCAAAGTACACCTTTGATTATATTACTCCTTCTCCTGCTCAAAAATCAATGAAACTCTGTTGTCAATTAAGTAAAATTCCTTAGTTCTTTGTTCTCAGTTTCTAGGTTTTTTTTTTTTTGTACTTTGATCCAAACTTAGCATTATCCATCATTCTTACCCTGCAGAGCATTTCCCCAGTTGTTCTCTACCAAACATTGTACTAGGATAAGCAAACTGATATACAGAACAAGAGTTCTGTGTTCAAATAGTTTTGGGAAATGATGATAAATGAATCCTGCCCTGGACATTTCCAATCTACATTAGAATGTGAAAAGCTCTGAGAAGCCCTGCCATGAAGAAATTTGTTTAACTTTTAAAAAAATCCAGCATTTCCACACATGCGTGAACACAAAATACTTTTGTCTTTTGCCACAGCTATTAACATTGCAGAACAGCCTTCCATTTGTCGTTTTCCTGTTGTCTTTGTTGTTTTCACATCTCCTCTCTTCCTCTTGTGTGCTATTTTTCTCTCTCTAACTTCATTCCTAAATCCAGCATGGGGAAATGGTGAGTGAAAGAGATTATTAGACTACAGAATTGTAGAAACAGTTTGAGACCATATGAACCACTCTCTGTTACCTCAGGAAAGTAGGAAGATAAGTAGATATAAGAATCTAGGAGAACATGTATGTGAAAGGAAAAATCATATAAGATGAAAGTATTTTTGACATCATGAAATTTCTCATAGTCATTTCATGGTCACTTGCTCAAAAAGTACATCACTGTTTTATTGGTAATCTGGCCTTTCTCCTTGTAATTTCTGGTTTTAGCTAATGTTCTGTTTATGATACCTTCTGTTTAGTTAGGCAGTCTTTAAGCATATGGATAAAAAGTGAGGTTGATAACTCTACAGAAAGTGCCATCACCTGTGGTAATAAAGTAACATTGATACTCTCCAGTTCCTTGGTGCTTTTCTCTAGTGAGTTAGATTATTTTTCTATGTCTGGAGTAGTTAGTGACAGATTAAAAGAAATGGAAGGTAAGAACTTATTATACAGTCTGTATATAATCATTTTGAGATATTCCACTTCTCTGCATATGAGACTCTCTCAAAAGTACTAGTTTTTTTTTCCTGAATCACTCGTATGAACCATGAATGTGTATCTAAAGATATCTGCAGTCAGAGGTAACTATAACTTAAGAAAAATAATAGCCAGAAGGTATAGCATGATGATTCAAGAATCAGCTTCAAAACTCTATCTAGTCTCCCTAGAAACCAATATTCAAATCTCATCAGGATCAACTTAGCCCTTTCTATAATAATACATAAATTGAATAACATACCTTTTAATTTGTGTGTTATTAAATGAAACTTTAGAGAATATTAAAGATACCAGTATTGTTTTTGTAAGTAAAGAAAATTCCAGTGTTAGTTTTCCTAAATTGTTTAACCTTGGGTAATTGAATATGCACAAGAAACTTTAATGTACCAGTGTTTGGTAAGGTTATTTGTAATAGTTAAACAATAACTCATTAATGAGGAATTTTTTTCTGGCTAGACTGTCTTTGGTTTTCTGCCTCCTTTTGGGCATGAATTTTAGAGCGTAGAAAATGATTGGATAGTTCATAATATTTCCGTATGTAACTTTTCTGGCTTTTATTTTGAATGATAAACTTAAAAAAAAATTGCCATTTCTTAAAAAAGTTACAGATTGCCCTACACCTAAATGTTTATTGCAGAAAATTTGGAAAATACAGGCTAGTATAAAGAATATAAGTTACCATTGGTTCTACTCTCAGAGATACCTGCTGTTAACCACTAGTAATGTTGTAGTTAATATTCTTTCAGCTATTTCTCTGTATATACATATATAATAAGATGTGTTTGTGTATTTCATTTCCGAATTACTAAAAATTTAGTCCTCAGAATTTTCCTACGGAAAAACGGCACTAAATATTCTTTTGTAAATCTTTGTATATATCCCTTATTTCCTTACATAAATTTTCTGAGTGGAATTGTTAGTTCAAAGGGTATGTAATTTTTAAGATGCTTCATTGATATTCTCAAATTGCTTTCTAGAAAGGTAGCATATTAGCCTGCAGGTGGCTTAAACACGTATTTCTCACAGTTTTGGAGACTGGAAGACCAAGATCAAGGTGCTATATAGCAGGTTTGGTTTCTGGTTGGTTTCTCCCTGGCCTGTAGATGGCACCTTCTCATTATGTCCCCACATGGTCCTTTGTCTTGCGAGTGTAGAGAGATTGATGCTTCTGGGTGTCTCTTCCTCTCATAAGAACATAAGTCCTATCAGATTATAGCCTCACCCTTATGACCTCATTTAACCTTAATTAGCTCCTTAAAGGATTTATCTCCAGACAAGTCACATTTGTGGGGGTGTTAAGTCTTCATCATATGAATTTTGAGGGGACACAATTCAGTCCATAATGTTGGCATCCTGTTATCAGTGAATGAGACTTGTCATTTCACCATCTTACTGCCAATACTGGATACACACGCCACAGAAGCGTGCATGTGCATATCATTGCTAATTTGATAAAGATGACATTGTTTTACTTTGCATTTCTTTGATCATTAGTTTGAATGAAATTTTAAATATTTGGACTTTTTAAATGAGGTTTCTATTCTTGAACTTAGACCATTTTTTTTTTGGTTGGGATTTTTAATTGTCAATAAACCTACATTTTCATTTGCATGTTTAGCTATTTTGTATTTTAACGGACATTTTTGCTTATACAGAAAAGGAATCATTTAAAAATATTATTTATCCTTTGATATTCAACTATTATTTACCTTTAAAATACAGAAAAGTGTACAGATTATGAGTGTCCATATTAATGAATCATGTTTAATGCTCACCATTAATTCATAAAAATTGTTTATAGTTGGATATATTGGTTTGCTGCCAGTGAAATATAGGTAGTGGCAAGGTTAATGCAAAATATTTTCAGCTATTGTTTGCTCCGAATTAACAAATGCAGCAGTGTTTCCTGAGATGTGCTCTTCGGAACTCTTATCTCACAAGATAAACCCTGAGAAGAGAGTTATTTGGTTGAATAGCTTTGGGGACTGCTTGCATTCTGCTTCTCTCACCTAGTGGTTCACATTGATCATCAGGAACTTGAAGTATCTGAGGAGCCCTGTAGTAAAGGAATTTGTTTCACTTTTGTAAACTGAGTACTTCCAAAACTTATTTTGGCAATAGGACATCCCCCCTTTTTATGTTATTTTTCTTAACTTTTTATTTTGAAATATTTATAGATTCACAGAAGTTGTAAAGAAAGGTACAGAGATGTCCTATGCACCCTTCACCCAGTTTTCCCTGATAACATCTTGCATAACTGTAGTACAATATCATGACCAGCAAATTGACATTAGTACAATTCATAGAGATTATTCATATTTCATTGGTTATACATACACTTGTGTGTGTGTAGATCATTGCAGTTTTATCACATGTAGATTCATGTAACCAGCACTGCCACAAGACCCCCTTGTACTAGGTATTTATTGCCACACCCACTCTCCCCCCTTTCCCTAACCCTGGCAACCATTGATATGTTCTCCATTTCTAAACTTTATCATTTCAAGAATGTCATATAAATGGAATATTATAGTATGTAAGATTGGATTTTTTCACTCAGCATAATTACCTTGAGGTTCATCTAGATTTTTGTGTGTACCAAGAGTTCTTTTCCTTTTTATTGCTGAGTAGTATTTCATGGTATGGATGTACCACAGTTTGTTTACCCATCCACATATCAAATGACATTTTCCCCCTCCTCATATTTTTCATGGAGTCTATTAATATCCTGTATGAATATTGTTCTAAAGAACACAAACTTTAGAAATTATGTACCACAGAAGTGATACAATTAAATAATCACTCTTTAGAGATTATTTCTGGGTTGCAGAAATTAAAACTCTTTTATTATTTGGTTTAGGAATTCCAGAGACGCTGTAATACTCTGATTTCATTGATTGAGAAAGAAAATATGGAAATTGAGGAAAGAGAGAGAGCGGAAAAGAAGAAACGGGCAACTAAAATTCCAATGGTAAAAATTTCAGCATTTTCCTAACTTTTAGGTAGATCACATTTTTTTTACATAATTAAAATACCTATATTATGTTTAATGCCATAGTGATACCTATTATAAAAACTGTTTTTATGAACTGCTAATTTGTTTTTGACAGAAAAAGAATTACACTACGACCACTTGTTTCCTATTTGTTTATAGAACGTATAGTTAGGAACTCCCTAGTAACAGGGCTCAGTATTTTAAAAAATTCCTCATGACTTTAAGCAAAAGTATAATGCAAGTAAAATCCTTCAAAATGAGACTAGAGTTGTCTTGGGGAGTAGGGGAAAGGATTGGGATGGGATGGGATGAGGCTGAATTTGAAACAGGAGTTCTGATTTGATCAAATAGGTTTTCTGATCTTTGTGGAACTATGAATGCAAATGAGAACTTTGAGCAGACAGCAGAGCTTTACTTGGTTTACTTGCTACTAAGTTAACTGTTGAATAATAAGATGACTTGATTTTAATCCAGACAGGTTGCCTTGCATAGCTACAATTTAAAATAGTCTTTAATATATGTTATTCAAGTGAGATTATGTAAACTACCATATTTCATCAAGTCTGAGATGCCTTCCACTGTAAGACACAGCATTATTGTATGTACTGTTGAGAAAAATGGTTGCTAAGTAACTATAACTCGTGATCAACTTTAAGATGCATCCTGATTTCAGAGATGCTCATGTGGGAAAGAAATGTGCATCATAGAATATATGAAATGTGGTATTTTAACATCTATCATACAGTTTGAAAAAATAATACATTCATAAATAACATTTTCCCCAGAAAATTTTAAGTATTAAGTAGTTCTTTAAGATAAGAGTACCTTTATAGTAGTATGTGAAAGTAGACACTTGATGACTATTTTTGATGCATATTTTGTCTTTTCTTAAAAAGAAACATCTTTGAAGGTTATTTTACATTGGGTTATATAGTTTGTTGGGCTAAATAGAACATTAACTGTGAGTATAACATTTAAGTGAATATTCATGTTAAAATTTTTTTTTAATGCATTTACATCCTAGATTTAACATTGTTGGGCCATTTAAAAATGTGCATATTGGAGCAGAACATTAAATCTGTTTCCATTTTAGTCACAGAAAAGAAAAGCAGAGTCAGCTACTGAGAGCTCTGGAAAGAAGGATGTCAAGAAGGTGAAATCCTAAAGCCTAGAAATAAAGTTTTAAATGGGAAACTGCTATTTTCTTGTTCCCATCTTCAAATGCTAATTGCCAGTTCCAGTGTATTCATGGTACTCAAAAATCTTTTTGGTTTTGATTTCTTGCATATTTTATATATTTTACAATGCTTTCTACCGGAAATGTGTAGCTTTATATTTTATGCATTCTAGTATTTTTGTGTACTGTATTTTGTGCATTTCATGTCTTCATCAAAATCCTCTCAGTCCTTGTTCTTTTGAAGCTTGTGCTGAGGTTTTAGCTTTTCTATGTTTTATATGCCGCTGCTTTGAAAGAGAACCTAGATTCTATAGCTGTATTATTGTTGTTTCATACTTTAAATTTATATGGCTGTGGAAAAATTAATTAAAATGATTTGAGGAGAAAGACTTTTTCACTTCTTTGTTGCTTTCTTTTCTATTGAGTATGGGCTTGTGTTATTGCATACTGTGATTAGCATAATAATTGTTTCTTTGAGGTCATCTAAATATTTTTTTTCTAAAGGAATAAAGGGTGAGAACAGAAAAATATTAAAAAAGAACAATATTTGATACTGTGCTTGCTGTCAGTATGAATTACATTTAAATTATTCTCTAAATATTCAAGTGGGAAATATAATAAAGAAATGTCTATAAGAAATTTAATTATTTCCTGTTTTTTGTGCAGTAGAAAATAGTTGTGTTTACTGAATTGTATTGCTCATTACTATGTATTTGGTTGAAAGTTAAAGCTTTGCTTGCTGACTTGTGCATGACCTTCTGTCAGTTCAGAGGAATCTGGGTATAACATGTAGATTTATAAACAACTAAATAAACAACTAAGAGTATGAAATAAGTACTATGTATACAAGAGAAATGGGGGCTGTCTTCTACAGGAATACATTTATGCTCAGATAACAATCTCAAAGTGTCAGAAGTTACACACACCAAGAGTTTATTTCTTGCTCACACTACAGATCCCATCGCAGGTGAGAGGGATGCGAGGATGGGAGGGAATATACTCGATACAATCACTCAAGTTTTCAGGCTGAGGCTCTACTGTTTTATAGCTACATCTCTTGGGACATGTGACCTGTTCTGCTGCTGTAGGAAAAAAAGAAAGGCTGGAGAATGTCATGTAGGCACTTCATTGCCTCAGCCCAAAAGTGTCACATGTCATGTCTACTAATATTTCATTGTCCAGAGCTAGTCACATTGTTTTGTTTATGTGTAAGAGGACTGGCAAATGTAGGATATCAAACAGAATGTTTTACATTATTGTCTGCTACAGAGGCTGTCTGTTCAGGAAAGAACCTGAGTCTGTTATATGATTAGTATGCACTTAACCATAATCAAGGTCAGTTTATGAGGGAACAGATAAAATGGATCAGAATCTAGTGTGAAACACACAATAAATGAGAAAATCTGGCAACACAGGACAGTGGTGTTAGTTATCAAAACAAGGTTTGGACCATTAAAGAGTTGCTCCCTCCCTCTACCAAGATCTTTTGCATTTCCTATCAAATTCTATTTGGTATACCACTGGCAAATCTTGGGTAGCTCTGAGTGCAAGTCAGCATCTTTAACATCCTCGGTCTTCTCATAGGGGTCCTGCAACATAGGAATAGATCTAGAATGACAACCCACTGTTTGCTGGACTCTTCCAAGTTTTTATTCATGGTCTAATTACATATTTCTTACTGTTATGTTTTTGATTGGATTCTTTTTACTATTTTCACTATTAGAACTTAGACTGTCATCTGCTGTACTTTGTTGGGATGCTAGTAAGAGATGACATTAGGATAATATTAGATCAAGGGACTCAGAGATACCCAAATTCATCCTTGTCCTTTTCTGTAAGGCCTGCAAAGGAAGCAAAGGTAAGCAAAGTAATACTTCAGTAGCTCATCCTGTGGCTCTAAACTTCAATCCAGAGCTCCTTAACTCAACATAAAATTTTAGAATTTTCTACTCTAATGAGATTAAAAGTTACAGTCACTTGAGTGGGAGATAATGAAAACTTAAGAAGGTCTTACTGATATCCCCAAGTTCCATGCACTGAAAAACAGCCCAGTGAGCATCCTGAACTCCGATCAATCAGTTCGACATTTCCTTTTTTCTTTTTTTAAAGGTTTTTATATTAATTTTTTTTATTAAATTTATCGGGGTGACATTGGTTAATAACATATAGGTTTTAAGTGTACACTTTTATAACACTTCATCTGTATATTGCATTGTATGCTCACCATCCAAAGTCTAGTCTTCCTTCGTCACCATATATATTTGATCCCCTTTACCCTCTTCATCCTCTCCTCTACCCACTTTCCCACTGGTAACCATCCTTCTGTCATCTGTTTATAAATTTATTTTGCTTGTTGCTTTCTATTTTATATCCTACATATGACTGAAATTGTATGGTTCTTGTCTCTTTTTGTCTGACTTCACTTGGCATAATACACTCTCAAGATCCATCCATGTTGTCACAAATGAGAACATTTCGTCTGTTCTTACAGCTTAGTAGTATTCCATTTTATATATGTACCACACCTTTATCCAGCCATCCGTTGGACACTTACGTTCTTTCCATGTCTTCTTGCCTCCCATGTATAGAGCAGCAGTGAACATAGTGGTACATATATCTTTATGAATGAATGTTTTTCATAATTTTGGGGTAGATACCCAGAAGAGGAATTGCTTAGTCATATGGTAGCTCTATTCTTAATTTTTTGAGGAAATTCCATACTGTTTTCCATAATGGCTGTACCAATTTACATTCCCACCAGCAGTGTATGAAGGTTCCTTTTAGCATTTCTTAGGAATGAAGATGGAGGGTGGGGGCAGGTACAATTAGTGTCTTCGAAGTTCTTTCATGGAAGTTTAACAATCTCTACTTCTCGTTCTTTCTCTGTTAACCCAAAGAGTTAATTGCTACCCTATATGTGACAGTCTACTTTAGGGGAGAAAATCTTCAGGTAAATTCTTCTAGCCTTTTCATGGGCCATTTCCCTGATTCGTATCATGGCTGTTATGAGCCTTTCTGGGACCAAAGAGATGTGAAATTCAGCTCTCTAAGATGTTCATTGAATGCCTCTGATGTCATCCTCAGAAACTTGTGAAACTTATTCAGGATATTAATGTAAGGACCACACTAAATATTTAGTGAACAATTCACCAGCTATTCTATCCCTTAATTTTAGATTATGTACAGCACTTTGTTGAACACGGCCTACCAAAGAAACTCGTACAGTGAACACCAGGTGACAGCACAGTCCAAATAATACAATATTGGGAATATAAAATGCCCCAAGTCTTTATAGGAAACATCCTACTGTCAATTTTCTACAAAGTGTCGTAGAGAATTTAAAAGTCCCAATAAAGAAATTACATTTTAAATAAGAGGCCTAAACTGATGGGGTAATAACCCTAGACCTGCAGCCATGTTGAGAAGAAAAAGGATAATCAGTTTACCATGTCTGCTGCTTAGAGGCCAGAGGGAGCAGAAGAGTGTTGTATCCATGAATGCAGTCTTCTAAATTAACTGTGATCCAGTGCACCAGCAAAAATGGTCCAATTGATTATATTGGAATCTGATCCAATCTGATTCCTTGTTTGGAGAACACGCAAGGAGAGAAGTGAGTAGAAGAACAGGGACACTAAGTGGTTTCCTTCACTCAAGGCCTCTGTCTATAGAAGATGAGATGAATAGGTTTCCTAACAACCCTTGGGCTCCCAAAGAGGCCCTCATAAAGCATCTGTCTTTGGTAATCCATTGGATACTCAGGCCCTAATTTCCTTAGAATCAAAAGAAGGTGGTGAGCTCAATCTCATTTTTATCATAGCTGTTTGCATCTCGATGTTTGTGCCACAGTTCCTTCCTGTTCCCTGGCTGCCTGGCCTCTTGGCCTATGAGTGGTCATGCTATATGGAAAAGCTGGATACTTGTCAGGTAACACAATTCTCCCATTACATAAGCTTCCAAATTTGGTCCATTGTGTGAGACTTCACAGTTATTGAACTAGAATCTTTGCAGCTATCTTAGTTGCTGAGTGTGTTTGGTTTGAATAGCCTCTACCCAACTGTTGAAACTACTGTCACCAAAATAAAATGCCATTATTTCCCAATTACTGGAAAAGGTCCCCACTGTGGTCTATTGTTCCTCCTCTGTGGTACAGTAGCTAATGCAGCTAGTTAAGATTCCTGGGGCAGTTTCAAGGCCCACAATAAGGCTGGTGTCCACATTGCTTTCTCTCCAGGTGTTTTTATTAACTGAATTCCTTGTTTCCATCAAATTTCAAACTTCTATCAGTATCGATCCCATGTCTATTTCATTTAATCTGCCTAAGCTACCCTCCCCAATAGGCAAGAGTTAAGATTTTCCTGTGGTTCAAATACTTGTAGCTAATGCCATCTGTTATGTCCCATATCCTTCATCCTTATCATTTCTGTGTGCTCTAGCTGATTTTTAACTGCCAGTTATCTGTTTGAGGGTTTTATCAGAGGCCTTGGAAGGCTTTTCTACCCTTTGCATGATAGGCTGGAAGAGCTAGAGGATTAACATCTCTTGAGAGTGGCTCTCAACTAAAAATTGATTGGGGTTGGTATATAAGTATCCCAGCTCTCTCACCCCTTGAGCAAGGTCATTCGAAGGTATATGATCTGTATGGTTCCCTAGAGTTTACCCACAGTAGTAGCTGTGTTGATAACACACTCTTTTGACTGCTTTCCTTTCCTTGTATCACTTCCTCCCCTGTGGGTGTTTCCTGGGGTCAACTCCTAAATAAACTACTTGCATTAGAATCTTTGTCTCAGGGTCTATTTCTGAGGAAACCCAAATAAGACACTAATTTTGTATGCAGCTATTCTTAGCACTTAGTTATTTCATAAGAAAGTGTGGGGTATTTAAGTAGAGTAATGACAGGGTAGTATATCATTCAACTGTTATTAGAAAATCTACCCCTCTTTGGACAGTGGGTGATGTGAATGGATCAGGGTATTCTGCACTGGTACAAAGTACTGAATTCTTAATTCTCTCTATTAACAAGTGAGACTCTTAAATCACCAGTAGCTATGATATTAGGAATTATTATTAGGCAGAGGTTAAAAGATTCCCAAGTTTTTTATAAGGCCAAAGTTTGTGCCCAGGCTATTGTTTCTTTAAGTGTTCTCCATGCTAGTAGCAGTGGTTCATTTAAATAATTGGACGAAGTGTTGGCCTTTCTCTCTGTACTGTGGCATATAACCATTACAGAAATCTAGTGATACCAAGTTTTTTCCCCCCATCGGTTAGCTTAGTGACCTGATTATTTGTCCCTTTCCTGATACATTGCTTTCTCACTGGGGAAACTTTCATCTAGGCCATTGTAGTCAGTTTTGAGCTATATTTGGAAAACTATAATGGGAAGTTCAAGTCTTCCCATCGACTTTCAGCCTTGCCTTCTGTATTGCCCCCAAGATATGCTTGGTTAATTTCTGATCTTCCTGTAGTATGGATATTAGAATTTGCCCATAGGTAGAACAACTATCAAATTATATGGTCTATTTTTGAAGGTCTCCATGTATCTATGGGAGGTTGGTGGTAAGTATCATTCACGTCCAACTCTCTACCTTCCATCATGAATACAGTTTTGAACTAACATATCTCCTTCAGTGGTAGAGAACAAA